GGTCACACCCGAGGTTTTCCCGCAGCGTGTGACCACCGAGCAAGCAGCGCTGGAAACCCAAGCCGGCAAGGAACCAGAAGGAACGTCTGCCGTACAGAAAACTTCCCAATGCTAGCGAGCTCATCAGGAGATCGGAGACACTGTGGTTCCAACGCGAGATTCATGAGACGTGACACTGTGAAATCAGGAAAGTGCCAACTGGCAGGGTAAGCCAGGAAACCAGGAACCCAAACCTGGCAAGCCAGGAAAGAACCAACCCGGGTGAGCAGAAATGTCTCGTCCAGGAGGAAACCCCAACCCCGGACCCCTGAAGGACCAACAAGTCCGACAACGGATGACAACTAGAAGCCGCCAGCAGAAAAACACTGAAATGCAGACACCATAAACAGCAAAGACGAAATTACGACAAAAAAACGAAGTGCCAGGGCTCAGGCCGAGGCCAACAAGCGAGCACAGCGAGCCAAAACGCAAAGCGAAAAGCAGGGACACTGCATCCCACAGGAGCGACGAACGCAGCCCCAGCAGGGCAGAACGAAGCACGCAATACCGAATAAGGTATGAGGAGAACAAACCAGGATGTGAACAGCACGAAAACAAAAATGCACCTCCCGAAAGAGAATACAAAGAAAAGGCCAGAGCCAGGGCCTGAAACCTAGCAGCTCTCGGTCCAACGAAAAGAAACTGTAGGGGCAGGAGAGGAAGAACGGAAGCACCATCCACCTGCACACAGTGCAACCCAGAAGCTGGAATTGCCAAACAAGAAGATGAAAACTCAGGACCAGAACCAAACACGGGCTGTGCAAAAGCAGGGAACTGAACATGGACAAAGTCCAACCTAGCATTAGTAGAGCCAAGAAGCACCTACTAAAACACACAATGTGAAGTAGAGAATGAGAAAACTGGAAAAACGCAAGAAAAAGACCAGAAAGACAGTCCAAGCACCAGCAGCTAAGGACAAATGTGGAGAAGGAATATGAGGAACGAAGAAGACAGGCAGCAATCGGGAACGAAATGGACATGATTTACTACATACAGTGAATCCAATGTATATGGATGGGCTCAGCTAGGCATTGCACGACGGTCAAGGAACAAGTGTCCAAGAAAAATCTCGAAAGATGCAGCCATGCCCCACCGTATAACAAATAACACAAACGATGAACAAGGAAGGCCACAGGAAGACGCATGCAATGAGCCAAACAAAACGCTACAACCAATCTCCAACACTCGTCCAAAAAACCATGAACCAGCACCTAGTTGAAAGAGACGCCAGATCACATAAACTCATCTGCAGAGCGTAAGCACTAACGTGTCACGACACATCTTGGCCATGAATATTCCGGGAGCACAGCTAATGAAATGAAGCCAGAGCCACACATGCAGGAGAAGAGTAGGGTACAGGCGAATGAGGCGCCCCACACCTGCATGCAGAGAAAAACTAAGCGTCCTCTCCATATTCATAATCCAGAACATTCCCAGTATCTGCAGGGTTCGGACTGGAGAGATAAGAGGGGCAAAAAGAGGCGAAGCACCCGAGAGAAAAAAGGATGCGGAACACCAACACTTGTGTACCCTTGGACAAGAATAGGGAGTTTGTTTTGGGATGCTTACCTTTCTAGGTGCCTGATCCAGTCAATGGCAGACATAGAATGCTTCCAACCACATGGGGGTGTCTATAGGCCATTGCTCCTCGTGCCTCTCTGAGAAGGGACAGGTTCTGGCAGGCCTAAAGAACTTCATACATATGACTGATGCCAAAGTCTGACACTAGCAATATCAGCCTGGATAGCTCCAGGGACCTGACGGGGCTCCCCCCAGAAAAAAGAAGAGGAGATGCAGACTGGAATAAGAACAGCATTCCTTCTATAGGAGTAGAAAATGATTCGTGGAACAACTTGAGAGCCACACCCTATCTCAAGAACAACAAAGGCGGCTAGGTAAAGAAATAGAAATGATTGAACTAAAGCTACAGGAATCATACAAAATCCAAGAGAGAGAGAGAGAGAGAGAGAGCACAAAAGGCCATCAGTGAAACAGAAATCTGAAAATTTGTTTCTCCTACGCAAAATCAAGATCAAAAACCCTATCTAGTATCGGACCCCTGCAACAGAGAGAGGGAACTTTCACAGATGACGACAAAGAAATGAGCGAAATACTGAGGAATCAGTACAACTCTAGTGGATCGCTGAAAACAAACGCACTAAAAATTTATATAGTAACCCAAATGAATTTTTCATGGATGTGATGCCAACATCAAATCACATACCAGATGTCACCCTGTCCCCACTGGATTTTGAAGAAGCCATAGACAGTATTCCTTTGCACTCTGCACCAGCCCCTGATTCCTGGAACTGCATATTCATCAACAACTATAAAAAAACACCACTGTTGCAGGCTTTCACATTCTTTGGAGGCAAAGCCTAGCTACTGGCATTATCCCTGACATACTAAAAAACAGCAGAGATAGCACCACTCCATAAAGGAGTAAATAAGGCAGAGGCAAAAAAAATTACAAACCTATAGCACTAACATCACATATAAAAAAATCTGAGTCTGTGCTAAGAAATAAGATCACAAAATACATGAAATCACAGCATCTTCATAACCCAGGACAACATGATTTCAGAACAGGGCACTCTTGCCTATCACAGTTGCTGGACCATTATGGCATGGCCTTAGATGCCATGGAAGACGAGCAAAACGCTGATGAAATTCACACAGATTTCGCAAAAGCCTTCGACAAATGTGATCATGGTGTTAATGCACACAAAATGTGTGCAAAAGGAATTACCGGAAAAACAGGCAGACGGATCTACAATTTCCTAACTAACAGAATCCAATGTGTAATAATCAACAAAAATACAATCCGGACCATCATCTGTGAAGAGTTCAGTCCCTCAGGGTACTGTGCTTGCTCCAGTACTTTTTCTCAAGACAGACAAGGACACAATCTATAGCACTGTATCATCCTTTGCAGATGACACTAGGATTTTTATGAGTAGACAACATAGAGAACACAGCAAACCTCCAATCAGATGTAAATAAGGTCTTTCAATGAGCTACAGAAAATAATATGGTATTTAATGATGTTCCAGTTATTGCGCTACAGAAAAATGAAAACAAAAACAGAAACCACGTACAAAACGCAGTCAAATCATAACATTCAAAGAAAAAGTAATGTAAAGGATTTGGGTGTACTCATGTCAGAAGATCTTGCCTTTAAAGAACACAATAAAGTAACAGAACACAATAAAGTAACAGTCACAACTGCAAGAAAAATGACAGGTTGGATAAAAAGAACTTTTCAAACTAGAGGTGCTATACCAATAATAATACTCTTCAAAACACTATGGCCATTCATGTTTAACAAATTTGCTATCATTTTATTCCAGCACGGTTGAGGCAGTTGATAGTGGTAAGGTTTGTGATGTTGTGTACCTTGACTTTAGAAAAGCTTTTGATACAGTGCCACATGAAAGACTGATTAAAAAGATAGAGGCTCATGGTATTGGGGGTGCTATATTGTTGGATTAGGGCATGGCTATACTAAAGGAAACAGTTAGAATAAATGGGATTAAGTCAGACTAGAAAAATGTGGTTAGTGGAGTGCCTCAAAGCTCTGTCCTGGGAGCTCTGTTATTCATAATATATATAAATGATTTAGACTCGGGTTTGAGCAGCAACATTTGCAAATTTGCCGATGATACAAAAATCGGGAGGGAAATAAACACGGAAAAAGACTATCACTTCAAGGCGATAAAAATAGGGTTTTGAAATGGTCAAAAGATTGCCAGATGCAGTTTAATGCTGACAAATATAAGGTTTTAAGGCTAGGTAGTGATGATAGAGTTACAAGATACAAGCGAAAATGAGCTTGAGACTGCGAAGTCGGATTGCGAAAGGGATCTGGGAATTATGATTAGTAAGAAATTAAAACCAGAAAATCAATACATGAATGTTCGTAATAAGACAAATAGGACACTGGGATTTATGAATCAAAGCGTTAGTAACAAGACACCTGGTGGTGTTCTTCAGCTATATCTGGCTCTGGTTAGGGCCCATTTAGATTATGCAGTTCAGTTTTGGTCGCCGTACTATAGAATGGATATAAATTCACTTTAACGTGTCCAGCATAGGATGACAAAGTTAATTTCCCAAATTAGAAACCTGTCATATGAAGAAAGATTAACAAAGTTAAATTGCATTCACTGGAAAGGCAAAAAGAGTTAGGGATGACATGACAGAGGTTTACAAGTGGATGAATGGACATAACAAAGAGGATATTAATAGGGTATTAAACGTATCAACACTAGACAAAACACGAAACAATGGGTATAAACTGGATAAGTTTAGATTTCAGAAAGACCTGGGTAAATACTGGTCCGGTAACAGGTTTGTTGATTTGTGGAACCAGTTGCCATGTGGCGTGGTTTAGGTGCGGGTCCCTCGATTGTTTCAAGCATGGGTCGGCAAAATATATGAGTGGGATTGGGGGTTATAAATAGGAGCTGCCTCGAATGGGCCAATAGGCCTTCTGCAGTTACAATCTGCTTCGATTTTTTTACAGTAAACTACAGTTGAACCTCGAGTGACAAGCGCCTTAAATTACGAGCATATTGAGTAACGAGCCCGCCAATCGCCGACAATTTCTCTCAATTGGCGAGCGCTCGTTTGATTAACAAGAAAACCACATGGTGCGTTCTCAGAAGGGAACGAGAGGCATGTCAAAGGGAAGGAAAAGAGGCGTGCCGAAGGGAAGGGAAAGAGAGGCGTGCCGAAGGGAAGGGAAAGAGAGGCGTCTGTAAATAGAACAGATTATGGCAGGTTGTGGAGTGCCACCTTTGGCCAAAGGTGGCACTCTTCAACCTGGAAAACAAGGTGGTTATAGAGCATGCTTATTATACCAGAATACAATTTTCCATTAAAAGCTACAAGACAATGTCAAATACACCATCTTTGACAAATTACAATTTTGGAAGCAAACAGTGTGAACATTCACATACCTCTTGCTTGGCATCCGGGCTGTAGTACACTAAGAGTAACGAGGTGACGATGTTGATGAATAGGCCAGCGATGGTGATGAGGTTGGGCGCTAGAGTCATGGAAATTTGTTCCACTAGCCAACACCACCATTTTTGCATCATGGGGTCCATAAGAGAGCTGGAGGCACAAGAATACTTGTGCTCCTCCAGCCTCCTTAACTGTGCATTGCTCAGGTGACCCATCTTCATCATTTGGAGCCTTTCTTTCAAAGACACTTCTTTTGTTTCAGGTCACTGTGTAACAATTTTGTCAGCTTTTATTCTCCAAAGCCCCCACAAACAAAAATAAATAAAAATAAACACCTGAGCTTTTTAACTAAAAATAAATAAAAAAAGCCTCTATTAAATGCTTTTCACCGAAGTCATTACGCAACACCACAAGACTTATATCTAAAAAGCCATGTGTAATTTTCTAATATTCATGTCTCCATTGTCTTTTTTTACCGAAGCATCAATCATTATTCTGAGGCATCAAACATTCTACATTTATTACATCTTAATAAGCATTATCTTAGCTTGCGGTTACAACACCAGTTGTTTTCCATCATATGATCACGTCACACCAAAACACACCTGAAAGATAAAAAGATATGTTATCAGGGTAGACAAAAGTTATTTCTGTCAGTTCCCTACTTTTGGTATAGATAATACACAGTACAGTATATACTTGGCATTGAAAATCAATGCTCTTGAACTTTTTAAGTTTAAAAATAGCATACTATAAATTAACATACAATGAAGACTTATAATAATAAATTATTATATATATATATATATATATATATATATATATATATATATATATATATATATATATATATATATATATATATATATATATATATATATATATATATATATATTTTATTTATTTATTTATTTATTTATTTCTATTACTGTATGTACTAAATCTTGCATGCCATGCATGTTCTCACGTCTCAGTAATGTAATCCAATATGATTTAGCTGGAAATACAAGTTAAGGATCTCATATGAAGTGTTACTACTGAAAACAAAATTGGCAAATTTCAGTGCTATCAATCAATATTTTTAGGTACATCAATTTTCTTAAATACGTAAGATTTGTAGAAGAAAAGCTATCAACATGGATAACACTGCTAATTTGATGCCGAGAAGTCACGATTGTACTCACCTAATAGAGGTGAGTACAATCGTGACTTCTCGGCATCAAATTAGCAGTGTTATCCATGTTGATAGCTTTTCTTCTACAAATCTTACGTATTTAAGAAAATTGATGTACCTAAAAATATTGATTGGTATTGTGTGCTCCCCACACATTGTTGGGGAGTGAGGAGGCTGCCCGAGGAGTCTAGTGTTGGCACACACTCCAAGGTCACAACAACAACTACGAGGAGTCTAGTGTTGGCACACACTCCAAGGTCACAACAACAACTACGAGGAGTCTAGTGTTGGCACACACTCCAAGGTCACAACAACAACTACGAGGAGTCTAGTGTTGGCACACACTCCAAGGTCACAACAACAACTACGAGGAGTCTAGTGTTGGCACACACTCCAAGGTCACAACAACAACTACGAGGAGTCTAGTGTTGGCACACACTCCAAGGTCACAACAACAACTACGAGGAGTCTAGTGTTGGCACACACTCCAAGGTCACAACAACAACTACGAGGAGTCTAGTGTTGGCACACACTCCAAGGTCACAACAACAACTACTACCCCACATTATCACCAACTATGCCATCTAACACAATGCCAACTACCATTATTAGACAACACACAAAATTAAACAACTCCGTGTAACTGTAAGTATATACTGTACTTGTATTTTTTATGACATAAAAGGACGAGACACACATGAAACTAAGTTCCTTTCATAAATGAGCTCCTTACAGAGGCAAATGCCATCTTCAGAGTATTCACAGAAACTCATACTAGAGATTGCTGTATATCGACAGAAACGTTTATATCCCAAATTACACTGTCAATAGATCTGATAAGCACAAAAACGGCATGAAGTACGTCTATGTTAAAAGACTCGCTCACACAAAATTACACAAAAAAACACACACAAAAAGTGTGTAGGTGAGATCTAGAACCTGATCCTAGAGATCTGATCTAGAACCTCAACTAATGTGGTGGAGACATTAGGTATCAGAGATGAAAACGCCTCGTAAATTATTCTCATACACAAAACCCCCTAATGCAACAGCTGAATAACAAAGCGAGCGCATAATAATTATAAACTATCTACAAAACCAATAATAACCCAGTACAGTACCAAATATTATGCCCCTAGGAAATTTCAACCTTACAAATTTGAAGTGGAATATGACAATATTAGACTACAACAAGCACAAATCAGAAAGCAAATGAAACTTAAGACAAGTATCATGCAACAATGAACCTGCAGATAATGGAGTCAAGTAGGGGGGAAAATTAGGCTTGGTCTGATCTTCAAATAATGAGGAACTTACCAGACGTATCACAAATACGACATTCAGATCAGAATGCCATTGAAATAAAGACAAAAAATTTACTAATTTTAAAATAGGCTTTGGTTTAGAAAAAATAAATGAAGAATTATCCAATACTCATTAACAAACCACCAACACACTGTTGGAATGGCAAAACTTCCAAGCCTGGATATAGGCTAGACGAGGGAGGGGGGGGGGGGAGAAAAAAAAAAAAAAAAAAAAAAAAAAAAAAAAAAAAAAAAAAAAAAAAAAAAAAAAAAAAAAAAAAAAAAAAAAAGGAAAAAAAAAGCAGAGGTAAACTGATGATGATCATGGGCCCAAAGGTAGACTGCAGATTGGTTACACTTGACACTATGGACAACCCAAGACAAATGGGCTCTGGAACAAGGACCCAGAGACACCAGATTCCCGAACCAGGTGCCCTCCCTGGGCACACTAGTGGTGCAGAGGTAACAACAAATTACCACAAGAGAAGGGTGGGTAGACTGCATTTTCTTGGACTGTCAGAAAGCCTTTGACACAGTACTCCATAAAAGGCTTTTACAAAAGTTGGAGCAACAGGCAGGAGTAAATGGCAAAGTGCTCCAGTGAATAAGGGAGTATCTAAGCAACGGGAAATGGCGAGTAACTGTGAGGGAGGGATGAGGCACCAGAGTGGCGAGATGTCACCAACGGAGTCCCACAGGGCTCTGGGACTCCACTGACCTATCATTTCTATGATAGTTCTATGATTCTATGAACTATGATTTCTAATCTGCTGAAACTTATTTCATCAAAATCATCGCACTTCAAAAAAAAAAATTGAAAAGATATTTGAGGTCAAGTATTCAAATATGAAGGGAACTTGCCAACAGGCTAGCAACTTGGAAGGAACTGTAATTCAAGGCCTAGCAAGGGTCCCATAACTCATCCCCAAAGGATGGAACACTATCTACTGTTCTCTGTCTAGAAGGACTTCACAAACCACACTAGTGCCCTCCAGGCCAGTGAGGTCTTTAAATTCTAGCCATCACAGAAAGGTGGAGTTTCAATGGAAGAAAATAACATGGATAACTTTAAAGGGAAACAAAGCTATTCATCATTGTAGCACTGGCCCAAATCAGCTTCCAAAAAGGTCTTTAATGTTACAATGCCTTGTAACATTAAAGACCTAACAGCAGTGATTGTAGAAACATGTCATCTATTCCATAACTTTTTTTTAGTCTAAATAACTTCAATCTGTCAAGTGAATCCCCCTGCATGGCAGTGGAACTGCTTTTTCCCCTCACCTTCAATGACTCTGTACTGGAAGTCTACCTCTACACCAGCCCAGATGAGTCATGAGTCCTGCCACCTCTCCACCTCTCTGTACCCCCCCCCCCTCAGGCCTGGCCCGGCCTGGTACGACTCGGAGGCAAGCCAAGCTCCCCCGCTAACCAGTAGTTTGCCTTCACAAACAAGCAGTTAGCCACCTTCAACTAGCAGTGGTGCAGCTCAACACAAAGACTATCAGTTTGCTAGTTGACCAGATGTCCACCTTGTGTTGACACCGGGTGAGTCATCACCACTGGACTATATAAAGGGCACCGCCTCATTGGAGAGCCTAAGTCCACTTCGGGCTCACCATAGCCCGTGCTACTTGGAACTTTTTGTTCTAAGTAGCAAATCTTAAACAACAACAATTGGAGAGTCTCTCTCTCTCTCTCAGTGCTCTTGGATCACCTTGGTGTGTCTCACCCCTTCGTCTGCCCTCAGCCTACGCCGTGTGTCTGATGCCATGGTGGTATGGTAGCTGTCTTCGGTAAACCAGTATATCTTCATGCATTATATTCGTCGAATTTTTTACAGTTTATTTTGTATTAATTTTCATATGATCTTGTCCACCTTTGCATTATATGATCAAGTGTTCTCAGGTGCCATTTTTGATAATTAATATTTCAGTAAATTGTTTTAATTATTTATTTGATTTCCATTTGTTTCCACCTGCGATTTACACACTGCAAGGCCAATAGCAGCATTTTTTTTGTTTATGTAATGGAGAGCCATACCCTCTTGGTTTAGTATAGCTGCGATACCACAACCCATCACAAATCCAATATACAAGTAGTGTATAGCGTTTTCAGTGTCACTTTATCGTACTAGTGTGTTCCACGGTACAACATTTAAAGTAATTAATAATAATAATAATTCTTTGTGTTGGGGGACAGGAAGCCAGTTTATACATACAGTACATGTTAGGCTTATATCAAGCCCCCCCCCCCCCCAGGGTTGAATTACAGACCCTTTCCAGGATGCAACCCCACAACAAGCTGACTCCAAGGTACCTATTTACTACTAGGTTGACGGGAATTAGGGAAAAGGAAACACCCTCCCCCCAACCATTTCTGTCCCACCTGGGTTTCGAAGCCGGAATTCTCGATTGGGAGTCAAATACAAACCCAACTGTATTATCAGGACTATTAACATTTAAAATGTTAACACAAATTTCAGATTCCCTATACCAGTTTTTTGTCATGTTACCAGAGCAGTGTTATTATTGCCGATTGGTTTGATAGCCGTCATGTTAACAGTCCTCCAATTACTGATCTGGCATGCAAGTCATCAAAAATCAAAATGCTAAAAATATGAGCCAAGTGTTCAACAATCTATACATTGTGCCAAATATCTAGCAACACTCAGTGCTTCTTGCCAAGTCAATGTCATGTCTTCACAACACCCAGAGACCAAACTGAATAATTAATATTTATACAATCTCTAACCTCAAGCTATGAATGACCCGGGCATCTTTTCAGCCACGTAGCAGAATAATGACTTGGCAAAGATCAAGGCTGACCGGTCAAACAATTACAGTACTGTACTGTATTACAAAAATCTTGCAGAAAAAACATGATAGAGCAGAATCCACATGTACACCCAAAAACAAGATTTGATATAATCAACAAGATTTAATCAACACAATGATCAAGGATACTAGCGACATGTGACATGGGGCACCACAAACATTCATACCTAAACAGAGATGCAGAAAACAGAATTGGTTCAACAGAAATTGTGAGAGGGCCAGAGACCAAAAGACACAAGCATGGAATCAATATAGGAAGAGGCCAAACCCCCAAACATACCAGCGATACAAAAATGCGAGAAACAACTACACGGCAGTAAAGAGAGAGGCAAAAAGAAATTTTGAAAAAGGGATAGCAGACAAATGTAAAACAGAACCAGGCCTATTCTACAAATTCATAAACAACAAATTGCAAGTAATGGATAATATTCAGATGTTGAAAATAGGAAATACTGTAGATTCACGGAAAATGAAAAGGAAATGTGTGAAACAGTAAACGAAAAGTTCCAAAGTGTGTGTGTATAAAATGAAATCTTCAGGGAATCAGACAATAAGAATTCCAGAGAACATAGAGCATACACAGTTTCTTTCACCAGCACAGCAATGCCCCGCCTTTCCTAATTTTTCTATCCTGTCTCCAGACTGAGTAGCCCCTTGGGAATATGACCTCATTTAAAATATCTTTAAGTTTTGTCTCCGTGAGTGCAACAATATCTGGTGTCTGCAGCTGTATTACATCACTTAACTCCAGTTTCTTTGATCTCACTCCATCTATGTTGGTGTATGCAATTTTCAGGAACATGTTCCCCCTCTCCTTATTCTTCACTACCCTTTTCTCTAGTGATTTTTAAATAAATAATTTTTTTATTCAGGTAAGGTACATACATACAAGGTAAGATACAAAGTTGATGGATTTATAGATAGAGCTAGTACATACAATGCCTAAAGCCACTATTACGCAAAGCGTTTCGGGCAGGATAAACATTAAAGACTAAAACTTAACACTAATTGAGTTTAAAGTATAAAATGTGTTGAGAACAAATAAAAATAAGAAAGGGGGGAACATGACTGAACATTTTGTTGGTTTGCCTTTTTGTACCATTTTACTGGTCTGCCTATCACTTTGTAGAAGAAAGATTTGATTTCTACTTCATTCCTGCTCTCAATTAGACGTTTTCCCTCAACGAGGTTCAGTTTTAGCTTCTCTCTTCTTTTGAAAGATCTCGTCTTAACGAGCATACTTTCCCTTCCTATCACTTTGTAATTTTCTAGCATTCCTTAGTACTTCTTCCATCTGTTTGGCACCATTTAGGATGATCCTCAAAAGGTCAATCTTTCCCTTCTACGTACTTTCCAATTCTCCTGTAGTCGCAGACATTCTCAATGGTAGTAAGACCTTCCATGAGGCCAACAATTTTATCTACTACTTTCTCTTCTTCTACAGTTCTTTCTGACCTAGATGGTACAGTATCTCCTTTTCTTTGCAACCAAAAATTATCAGGGACTTACTTCGATCAACTGTGTTTTGCACCAACTTCGGGTTAGATGCCAGTTCCTTTCTGACTTCCAACCTATTTTTTTTTTTTTTTTTTTTTGAGATATATACAAGAGTTGTTACATTCTTGTACAGCCACTAGTACGCGTAGCGTATCGGGCAAGTCCTTAATCCTATGGTCCCTGGAATACGATGCCCTGCCGCGAAGAATCGTTTTTTCATCCAAGTACACATTTTACTGTTGCGTTAAACAGAGGCTACAGTTAAGGAATTGCGCCCAGTAAATCCTCCCCGGCCAGGATACGAACTCATGATATAGCACTCGCGGAACGCCAGGCGAGTGTCTTACCACTACACCACGGAGACTGCCTAAATGTTTGTTTTATGCTGGTTGCTGCAGTGTTTGGCTTCCTTTACTGCTGCTGCTATTTTTTCCTTCTCCTTGGCCACTTGTGCATCCTGTGTACAGGAGTTGTAGCAAATGTGTAGAAAAAGGCTAACATAGTTCCAATCTACAAAAGTGGCGGCAGGGAAGACCCCCCTCAATTATAGACCCCGTATCGTTGACAAGTGTAATAGTCAAAATACAGGTATTGGAAAAAAATAATTAAAATTAAATGGGTTTCACCTGGAGAGAAACTATATAATATCAGACAGTCAGTATGGTTTTCAATCTGGAAGATCCTGTGTAACAAATTTACTCAGTTTCTATGATCGAGCCACAGAGATTTTACAGGAAAGAGATGGTTGTGTTGACTGCAACTATCAGGACCTAGAAAAGACTTTCAACAGAGTTCCACATAAGAGGTTGTTCTGGAAACTGGAACACATTGGAGGGGTAACAGGTAAGCTGCTAACATGGATGAAAAATGTTCCGACTGATAGAAAAATGAGGGCAGTAATAAGAGGAAGTGTATCGGACTGGAGAAATGTCACAAGCAGAGTACCACAGGGTTCAATTCTTGCACCGGGAATGTTCATTGTCTACATAAACGATCTACCAGATGGAATACAGAATTACTGTATATGAATATGTTTGCTGATGATGCTAAGATAATAGGAAGGATAAGTAACTTAGATGATTGTCATGCCCTTCAAGAAGACCTGGACAAAGTATATGGAGCACCACTTGGCAAATGGAATTTAATGTAAATAAATGCCATGTTATGGAATGTGAAATAGGAGAACATAGACCCCACACAACCTATAAATTACGTGAGAAATCTTTAAAGAAGTCTGATCAAGAAAGATCTAGAGATGGTTCTAGATAGAAAACTATCACCTGAGGACCACATTAAGAATATTGTGTGAGGAGCCTATGCTACACTTTCTAACTTCAGAATTGCTTTTAAATACATGGATGGTGAAATACTAAAGAAATTGTTCACGACTTTTGTTAGACCAAAGCTGGAATATGCTGCGGTTGTGTGGTGCCCATATCTTAAGAAGCACATCAACAAACTGGAAAAGGTGCAAAGATTTGCTACAGTACTAAGTGGCTCCCAGAACTGAGGGACAAGAGCTACGAGGAGAGGTTAGAGGCATTAAATATGCCAAAACTAGAAGACGGAAGAAAAAGAGGCGATATGATCACTACGTACAAATTAGTAACAGGAATTGATAAAATTGATAGGGAAGATTTCCTGAGACCCGGAATTTAAAGAACAAGAGGTCATAGATTTTAACTAAACACAGATGCCGAAGAAATAACAGAAAATTCACTTTTGCAAACAGAGTGGTAGACGGTTGGAACAAGTTAGGTGAGAAGGTGGTAGAGGCCACGATCGTCAGTACAGTAGTTTCAAAGCGTTATATGACAGTGCTGGGGAGACGGGACACCATGAGCGTAGCTCTCATCCTGTAACTACTTAGGTAATTACACATAGGGGACACCAGCGGTGTGACCTGGGGGGGGGGGCCACTACCAGTGCATGACATGGGGAAACACTGTCAACATGGGATACTGGCAGCACATGACATGGAAAGGGGGGGAGGAGAGGGGTGATACTGGTGGAATGTGACATGGGGGACACCGGTAACACGGAAGCAGGTGGTAATGCATGTCATGGAGAGGTGGTGCGCGCGTTTGCCAGGGACAGGTGGTGCGCGCGTTTGCCAGGGACAGGTGGTGCGCGCGTTTGCCAGGGACAGGTGGTGCGCGCGTTTGCCAGGGACAGGTGGTGCGCGCGTTTGCCAGGGACAGGTGGTGCGCGCGTTTGCCAGGGACAGGTGGTGCGCGCGTTTGCCAGGGACAGGTGGTGCGCGCGTTTGCCAGGGACAGGTGGTGCGCGCGTTTGCCAGGGACAGGTGGTGCGCGCGTTTGCCAGGGACAGGTGGTGCGCGCGTTTGCCAGGGACAGGTGGTGCGCGCGTTTGCCAGGGACAGGTGGTGCGCGCGTTTGCCAGGGACAGGTGGTGCGCGCGTTTGCCAGGGACAGGTGGTGCGCGCGTTTGCCAGGGACAGGTGGTGCGCGCGTTTGCCAGGGACAGGTGGTGCGCGCGTTTGCCAGGGACAGGTGGTGCGCGCGTTTGCCAGGGACAGGTGGTGCGCGCGTTTGCCAGGGACAGGTGGTGCGCGCGTTTGCCAGGGACAGGTGGTGCGCGCGTTTGCCAGGGACAGGTGGTGCGCGCGTTTGCCAGGGACAGGTGGTGCGCGCGTTTGCCAGGGACAGGTGGTGCGCGCGTTTGCCAGGGACAGGTGGTGCGCGCGTTTGCCAGGGACAGGTGGTGCGCGCGTTTGCCAGGGACAGGTGGTGCGCGCGTTTGCCAGGGACAGGTGGTGCGCGCGTTTGCCAGGGACAGGTGGTGCGCGCGTTTGCCAGGGACAGGTGGTGCGCGCGTTTGCCAGGGACAGGTGGTGCGCGCGTTTGCCAGGGACAGGTGGTGCGCGTTTGCCAGGGACAGGTGGTGCGCGTTTGCCAGGGACAAGTGTGTGTATTTGCCAGGGACAGGTGGGTGTGTGAGTGCCAGGGACAGGTGGTTGTGTTTGCCAGGGACAGGTGGTGTGTGCTAGGGACAGGTGGTGCGTGCCAGGGACAGGTGGTGTGTGCCAGGGACAGGTGGTGTGTGCCAGGGACAGGTGGTGTGTCCAGAGCAGTTGCTGTATGCCAGGAAGGGGTGGCCGCCTGGCCAAGATCGTGTAGTGAGTATATAGTTTGTACTCGCTACAGATCTGTAGCGAGTACAAACAATACACTCACTACAATCGCCTCGTCAGCTGATCCAACAAACTTTCAGGAGCTGGCCACTATCAGGCGCCCAAGCCCCCCTCACACCGTCCCAACTCTCCCCCCTCATCATTATCCACCACCAGCGAGCCACTAACCTCTGCTGCAGGAGCCTCTACAGCAGCAGTAGCAGGAGCGGTACACAGCAACAGCGCTGCCTGCTCCACTTGCCTCCAGCTGATAAACAACGGAATATGGCTGGAGGTGAACGACGGTCGACGTGTTGCGTAGTTTCGTCGCCCTTACGGGGTCACTAAACACATACAATAGAGGAAATTGAAATTGAAATTGAAATAAGTTTATTGAGGTAAAATACACACAAAGGGATGAGGTAGCTCAAGCTATTCTCACCCCGTTCAGTACATCGTGTTAATACATACATATACACACAAACAATAGAGGACGGATCGCACACATTTATTTTTATTTATTTATTTATATACATACAAGTAGGTACATTGGGTTTATGCGAGTACATAGCATTGTTGTTTTTACATTCTTGTCAAATCACTAACACACATAGCGTTTCGGGCAGGTCCTTAATCTTAATTTAGTTGAGGGCTTGACAGCTGAGTGGACAGCGCTCGGGCTTTGTAGTCCTAATTAAGGGTCCGGGTTCGATTCCTGCCGGAGGCGGAAGCAAATTGGCAGAGTTTTTTCACCCTGATCGATTTGCTGCTGTTCACCTAGCAGTAAATAGGTACGGAGTTAGACAGCTGCTACGGGCTGCTTAATTTCTGGGTATGTGTGTGTGTGAAAATTAGGATTAAGGACTCTATGCGTGCTAGTGACTGTACAAGAATGTAAGACCACTTATATATATACAAAAAAGTTTAGTTTAGTTCATTTATTATGCACCCCATACCCATCCTGTGGGCGGCAGTGGAAAGAGTTACAGAGGCACATAATGGGCTCAGGGACGCAACCCCACCATTCATTTAGCTAAGCAAGTTGCAGTCTTGATGAGCTAGCCACAAAGTTCAATACACATCGTCACATCATCAATGGGTTCGAGATCGACCACAAGTACAGTTTCTAAATTAAGCAACTGACATATGTGGAGAGCTAGTGTCACAATTTAAGTTGGATTATGGCATGGCTATACCAAAGAAAACAAAGAGTTAGTATAAATGGAGTTAAGTCAGACTGGGAAAATGTTGTAAGTGGAGTGCCTGAAGGCTCTGTCCTGAAATCTCTGTTATTCATAATATATATAAATGATTTAGATTCAGGTTTGAGCAGCAACATTTGCAAATTTCCCGATGATACAAAAATCGGTAGGGAAATTAAAACGGAAGAAGAATCACTATCACTTCAAGTTGATCTAAATAGGGTTTTGAAATGGTCAAAAGATTGGCAGATGCAGTTTAATGCTGATAAATGTAAAGTTCTGAGGATAGGTAATAAGAACATAAGAATAAAGGTAACTGCAGAAGGCCTATTGGCCCATACAAGGCAGCTCCTATTTATTATAACCACCCAATCCCACTCATACATGTCCAACCAACGCTTCAAACAATCGAGGGACCCCACCTCCACTACGTTTCGTGGTAATTGGTTCCACAAATCAACAACCCTGTTACCGAACCAGTATTTACCCTAGTCTCTCCTAAATCTAAACTTATCCAATTTATACCCATTGTTTTGCGTTCTGTCTTGTGTTGATACTTTTAATACTGCATTAATATCCCATTTGTTATGTGCATTCATCCACTTGTAAACCTCTATCATGTCACCCTGACTCTTCGCCTTTCCAGTGAATGCAATATAAGCTTTGTTAATCTTTCTTCATATGAAAGATTTCTAATTTGGTGAATTAACTTAGTTATCCTACGCTGGACACGTTAAAGTGAATTTATATCCATTCTATAGTACGGCGACCAAAACTGAACTGCATAATCTAAATGGGCCTAACTAGAACAAGTTATAGCTGAAGAACCACACCAGGTGTCTTGTTACTAACGCTTCGATTAATAAAACCCAGTGTCCTAATTTACCTTATTACGAACATTCATGCAATAATCCTTTTGTTTAAAATTCTTACTAATCATAACTCCCAGATCCCTTTCGCAATCAGACTTCGTAATCTCAACACCATCTAGCTCGTATCTTGTAACTCTATCATCATTACCTAGCCTCAAAACTTTACATTTATCAGCATTAAACTGCATCTGCCAATCTTTTGACCATTTCAAAACCCTATTTAGATCAACTTGAAGTGATAGTGAGTCTTTTTCCGTGTTAATTTCCCTACCGATTTTTGTATCATCTGCAAATTTGCAGATGTTGGTACTCAAACCTGAATCTAAATCATTTATATATATTATAAACAACAGAGGTCCCAGGACAGAGCCTTGAGGCACTCCACTTACAACATTTTCCCACTCTAACTTGATTCCATTTATACTAACTCTCTGTTTCCTTTGGAATAGCCATGCCCTAATCCAACTTAATATAGCACCCCCAATACCATGAGCCTCTATTTTTTTTAATCAGTCTTTCATGTGGCACGTACTGTATCAAAAGCTTTGCTAAAGTCAAGGTACACAACATCACAAACCTTACCACTATCAACTGCCTCAACTATGCTGGAATAAAAAGAGCAATCCCCTAGTGCTTGTTTCTGTTTTACTTGGGCGGAGCATGAGTATTTATGACTCGTATGGTCGCTTCAGTAAGATTTTGCCCCATGTGTTTAACAACTTCTGCTCTGTTGAATCTAAGTTGAATTCTTATTTGGTTTGTAAATGTGCAGTGTGTTAGATAATGTTCCAGTGGTCTGTAGGGCATTTCTCCACAGTGCTGACATTTCCTCTCATCTTCCGGAACCTGTAAGCCCATTTCCCATGCACATGGGTATCCAAGCCTGATGCGATGTAAGTGTACTTCTGTTGCTCTACGGCTCCCTTTCATCAAACTAAGTGGTTCGTAGTTGGTTGAATTCTTGTACCAACCCTGAGATCCTGATGTTGCAACTGCTGTGTTGTGGTCACTGTACATCTTTTGCATTGCTGTTTCTAATTACTTTCTTAACGAAGGAGATATTAATAAGGTATTAAAAGTATTAACACAAGACAGAGCACGAACGAATGGGGTATAAACTGGATAAGTTTAGATTTAGGAAAGACTTGGGTAAATACTGGTTCGGTAACAGGGTTGTTGATTTGTGGAACCAATTACCGCGTAACGTGTTGGAGGTGGAGTCCCTCGATTGTTTCAAGCGTAGGTTGGACATGTATATGAGTGGGATTGGGTGGTTATAAATAGGAGCTACCTCATATGAGCCAATAGACCTTCTGCAGTTACCTTTGTTCTTATGGTCTTATGTTCTTATTACGGGCCACCTCTTGGGTGGCTTAATCTTTATCAATCAATCAATCGGCTATTCATGCCCGTGCCACCTCTGGGGTGGCTTAATCTTAACCAATCATCAATCAACACAGGTGGTTACGGGGTACTCATACTCTTGCCATTTCTGGGTGGCTTACTCTTCATAAATCAACACGAGTGGTACTCCCACAAGGGGACACAGGTTGAAGCTCAGTACCCAAATATGCCACAGAGGTATTAGAAAGAACTTTTTCAGAGTAGTTATTAAATGGAATGCATGGATGTGGTGGAGGCTGACTCCATACACAATTTCAAATATAGATATGATAGACTTCAATGAGCTCAGGAATCCGTTCACCAGTAGATTGACAGTTGAGAAGTCCCTGAGCCCATTATGTGCCTCTGTAATCCTTTCCACTACCGCCCATAAGATGGGTATGGGGTGCATAATAAATGAACTAAACTAACTAACTGAGAGGTGGGACCAAAGAGCCGAAGCTCAACACCCCCGCTAGGGCATCTAGGTGCGTACATACATGGGATACAAGAAGAGTGAATTTATATAAAAAATCCGTTATAGTTATATTAATAATAATTATTGTAGATTATTAATTAGGATAATTAGAATTATTTTATGCTATGCGTGTTAGTGGCTTTACAAGGATGTAAAAACATCAATGCTATGCTATGTTCCGTCATAAACCCAACGTACCTTCTTATATATATATATAAATAAATAAATAAATAAACCACACGAGTGGTACGTATAGGGGGGTACCACCAGTGGTGGTACCCCCCTATATAATAAATAAATAAATAAAATAAATAATTGTGTTCATCCTGCTCTCGCACAGGAAAACACATTGGCAAGCCTTGGAATTGTGTTGTTGCCCCTCCTGCTCTCGTTCAGGAAAATGTATTGTGTACGTGCTAGGGACATCACTGCGCTCCGCGTTTAACAATTACTTGCTATCAGTAACGTAAGTGTTAATGCCTGCCTCTTCAAACGTATTGTCCTGCCTAGGGGATTGTAGAGGTGTGTGGAGAGGAGAGAGCGGGGCGGGTGTCGAACCCAGGCGAGGAAGCTACCAAGGGTTGAGGCCGCCTCAGAGAAGCCTGGTGGTGGGGTTGGTCTTAGGGGCGTCTACAGGAACACCTTCAAGACGTACAGAGGCCTTCTCGACACAGCTCATTTCCTAGTGGTTAAAACTGTGTATGATCGTTAGGTGTGGCGGGATTGGTTTGTCAGGGGGTGTTTCTTTTTGACTGTTGCGTGCACAGGTAACCGCGTTATTCGCAGTATCATATATAGCGACCATTTTGTACTTCTGACTTCTCCTCTGGCCTCACTCTCCTGACAGGATTTTGCCCTTGCGGTTGTGCCTGCTGTTTGGGTGGTGCGGTGGCCAGGAGAAAGCTGTACTTCGGGCTGCATGCGCTTAGGGTTCTCTTCACTAGGAGCCCTGTAAGTATTTCCTTTGGGTCTCAGGGTTCTCTTCCCTGGGGCTTTCTGGTTCACACTCCCGCAGGGGTTGTTGTCGCTTGACAATGACCTCGCCCTTGGGGTCTGCGGGGGTCTTGGTGCTTGCGTTTAGCCCTGGGTAGGGAGTGTTTGTTGCCGGGTAGGGACGCATGGTGCTTGCGCAGCTCGTATACCTAGCGGCGGCCGTCTCTCTCTCTCTGATGCCCTGTTGTGGTGTACTTTCGGAGTCTTTGCTTTCATTTGCTTTCATGATCTTTTCTGTCTCACGAAGGTCGGCCTGACTTCCGATTAGGTTTGCCTAGGTGGCGTTTGGTAGTCCTCCTCTAGGCCCCCCCATGACAGGGGTCAGTTTGCCCGGTAATTGATGGGGATCAACCGGCTGTGCAGCACCAGTGCCTAGGTTTCTTGTGGGGACACGTCCCCCATGCGGGTCCTGGTAAACCCCTTGGGAACTCGGCGTTACTATGGATATGTCTTCCGAGTCCTCTCTCGCTTTTTGCGAGTTTGAGGGTTGTTCGTTGCCTTTGTCTCAAGGTGACGATCATCTGTTTTTTATCTGCCATGCTGCTTGTTGGGTCCGTGACACCTTCGGCCCGCAGTCGTGCGAGATTTGTTCACCGCTCATTCTCCAATTTATCCATTCTTCTTTGGAAGTTCTTAGGGGGTCTAGCGACTGTCATGTTGCATGGTAGGTTAGTGTTATTGCAATGCGCTATGTTGGTTGCCTGCTCAAATGCTTCGGGGCTGCCCCGTTTTGGTTTTAGGGTCCCGGACTTGGGGGCGTTGGTTGCTTTGACCTTGGTTTCGTCTGCGCCCTCGAGGCCTTCCCTGGTTTGCGTGGTTCGCCCTGCTCATTTTTCCCCTACTACCAGCTCCCAAATGTCTGCGGGTTTCAGAGTCAGGGCAGGGTTTAGTTGGGAATGCAACTTAGGTGGTTCTGGGGACTGCTCCGTAGGCTGCTCTGTGGGCTGCTCTGTTCGGTGCGGGGGACGGAGGCCTTTGATCCTGATCCTCCCATCAAGGCTTCTGGGTCTTTTCAGCAGACCCCCTTCTTTGCTGCCTTTCCCTTTGACTCTGATTTTTCTTCTATTTGGGTGGAGAGCATGGAGGACGGCTCTGCCCTGGGGCCTGGGTTTGAGGCCTCTGGGGCTGGGAGGGTGTCGGTTTGGGGCTCTTGGGCCCCGTTTGATCCTGCCTGGACTTTGGTACCCTCGGGGCAGGGTTTGCTGTTGCAGGGTTCGGGGTTTTTGTATCCCCCTTCCCTGTACGAGTTTGATTTGAGTTCCCCCCCCCCCCCAGGTTTGTTTCTGGGTACCTTTGGGTTTTGCGGCTCTCCTTCCAGAGGTTTTCACCTCTCTGATTTTCTCTGTAGGTCCGGGAGGCTTTTGGTGCATACCTCCTGCGAGACCCACACTTTGCCTCTGTGATGGACCCGGTTTCTTTTGAGTTCGGTTCCTCTTCCCCCGTACGTATTGGGTGCATTAGCAGGTTCCGGCGTCTTTCTGGCTGGTAGACTGGCCTTTCTTTTCTCTTGGAGCGTGGCACGGTTTTTGTCATACCCGCATGCTGGATTGGCAGGAGCTTTCCACTGTGTTACAGGTTTACTTGGGGGGGCTCTTTTGAGCACCTGTATGTCTGCCATTACACCCTTGTGCTTCATCATGAGGTTGGCTTGCTCCAGTTGCATGCTCAGGTCCCCTCTCTTTCGGTTGCCTTATTTACAAAGGACCTTCGTACTCGTGGTCATCTGGCCTTTGTCTTGTGCTTCTTTTCCCTTCTTGAGTTGTCCTTGGACTGGCTTATGGAGGATGTGGAGGCTTTGAGTGATGGGCCGTCGTCTGGAGTGACATAATTTACATAATTTACATTAACAAATGTAAATTATGTAATGTAAAAAATGTAGAAACTAATGGAAATTGACAATATCTTATGGCTGTATGGCTGTTGCATTAGAGTTTTTATTTTGATGTGGAAATTTTCTACTAGTGGGCTCCGTTGTTCCGTTGGGCTCACAGCATGATACGGGAATTTGTGGCGGTGTAGCTTTCGCTGCGGCGGATTTGGGTCTTCTGCTTAGTTCTCAAGATTTAGCTCTTCGTGTGGTTCATATCAGGGGCGTGTCAAATGTCCTGGTGGACGGCCTGTCTCGGTTCATTCCGTTGTCCACGGAATGGACGGTCGATGCTGACTACTTCTGTTGGCTTTGCTGGGCGTTTGGGCCCCTGGAGGTGGAACTCTTCGTATTGGCGTGGTCCCGGTGTCTCCCAGTGTATGTGGCGTCCTTCCCCGACTGCAGTAAACGCTTTTCGGCAGGACTGGTCGAGGTGGGGTTACCTTACCTCTTCCCCCCCCTCCCTTCCCTGGTCCAGCTGTTGTGTTGGGTTCTGGCTCAGCTGAAGTCCTATCAAGGGAGGGTTCTCCTGGCCCTATGGTGGCTGGCCTAGCCTTGGTTTCAGTCGCTGCTTGCTCGTTGTCCGAACCTGGGGTTTTACCGCAGCTTCGCCTCTTCCAGCAGATCGAGCTGCTGAGGTACCTTGCTGGTTCGACCTACTCAAAATTAGAAAGGGCAGCATAGGCTCCTCGCACAATGTTCTTAATGTGGTCCTCAGGTGACAGTTTTTTTATCTAGAACCACCCCTAGATCCCTTTCTTTGTCAGAATTCTTTAAAGATTTCTCACATAATTTATAGGTTATGTGGGGTCTATGTTCTCCAATTCCACATTCCATAACATGGCATTTATTCACATTAAATTCCATTTGCCAAGTGGTGCTCCATATACTTATTTTGTCCAGGTCTTCTTGAAGGGCATGACAATCATCTAGGTTTCTTATCTTTTATATTGTGAATATAGCATCATCAGCAAACATGTTCATATAATTCTGTATTCCATCTGGTAGATCATTTATGTAGATTATGAACATTACCGGTGCAAGAACTGAACCCTGTGGTACTCCACTTGTGACATTCCTCCAATCCGATACATTGCCTCTGATTACGGCCCTCATTTTTCTATCGGGAAATTTTTCATCCATGTTAGAAGCTTACCTGTCACCCTTTCAAAATGTTCCAGTTTCCAGAATAACCTCTTATGTGGAACTCTGTCAAAAGCCTTTTCTGGGGGAGCCCCTACGGCTCCCTGGAGCTATCCAGGCTGATATGCTAATGTCAGACTTTGGCATCAGTCAGAACCTGGCCCCCCCTCTCAGAGAGGCAAGGGAATCAATGGCCTATAGAAACCCCCCATGTGGTTAGAAGCATTCTATGTCTGCCATTGACTGAGTCAGGCACCCAGAAAGGTAAGCATCCCAAAACAAACCCCTATTCTGGTGAAAATATTGCTACCAAATGCTGAACAAGTGGATAGAACTCTCCAAACAAAAATGAGCAAACTAGTATGACGTCGCCCGTTGCCGTGCCACTGTCTGCACAGCTCCCCCCCTTCCCGGGAGGGGGAAGGGGGAGCCTCAGACCTACCGCTCCGGTGATCCACACCCCAGTTCTGAGGCTGGATGTCAAAATGCGAAAAACTGCCAACCGGAGGGAGGGAGGGATGCCGGGGAGCCTCCGGGTCTCACCCAGAAAATGGCGTTTCATTACATTCAATGCTGGTTTTCTGGGGGGAGCCCTTACGGCTCCCCGGAGCTAACTACCCACAGAGGAAAAAAGAGGGACTTACCCGGGAGGCGGTTGCTGCTCACTCCTCAACCCGAAGTCGAGACAACCGGCTGCATCCGCTGACCCAAAGCGACACAGGCCCGACTGGGCCCAGGGACGTTAACAAGGTAACGAGCATCCAGGACCCTGTTCGACTGCCAAAATCCCCGCGCCCGAATGTCAGCCCAAGACATATGGCCAAAGACGGGGGCAAGAGCCGTGAACTTGCGAACGTCATAGGCACAGGGATAGACCGCAGGCTGGCTAGCCGTAATAACCCTGTGGACGACCTGGGAGACCCGCACCAGCGAACAGGGAAGAAGGGAAACCGGATCAACCCAATGTCCAGTTTAGCCAGCCTGCAGTCTACCCTAATGCCCATGATGTTCGGAAGTTTGTAGTTCTCGTTGTGATCTTTGGTAACATATCTTGGGTTGACATTTGGACACGGGGATTTTGGCATTCGAACAGGGTCCTGGGGGCTCATTATTTGGTTAATGATCCGGGTCCTCATCGACCCTGTATGGTTTTGGGGAGCCTGTCGGGGCCAGCTGTCTCTTCTTCGTTCTGTGTGATGCGGTGCGGCCGCCTCCCGGGTAAGTCCCTGTTTTACTTATCTGTGGGTATCTAGCTTCAGGGGGCCAATGGGGCTCCCCACAGAAAACCAACGTTGAATATAATGAAATGCCATTATCTGGGTGAACCCCAGAGGCTCCCTGGCACCCTCCATCAATCCAGTCGGCGTTTTTTCTTTTCGTTTGCTCAATCTCTAAACTGGAGGGTGAGCAGCCAGCTTGGGTGAGCACCCCCACCCCCCCCAGGGGGCATTTTGGTTGTTGCATTGTTTTTCCTTGGTGGGAGTTCTTGAAATCTGTTCTGTCTTGGGATGTAATGTTCTACCAGTTGGGGTTTGTTTTGGGATGCCTACATTTCTGGGTGCCTGGCAGACATGAATATACTTTCAAAGAGTGGAGTTTTCATAGGTCATTGCTCCATGCGCCTCTCTGAGGGAGCCAGGTTCTGGCTCATTGTTCCTGGTAAGTAAGAACTCCATTTGACTGAAGCCCCGGACTAATATAGCATATATCAGCTCGATAGCTCCAGGGATCCTCCGGCGCTTGCCCAGAAAATGGCGTTTCATTACATTCAGTGCTGGTTTTATGCCTAGGCTATGGAATACTGTAATTGAAACACTCGTGTGGTAGAGTTACTTATGGTGGCATGAATGAACCATGATGTTATAGAGTATTTGAGGTGGTATATAAGACCAGAGTGGTACTTTTAATTTTTGTAGTCATATGTTCCAATAAAATTTATCCCTTCCTTCCTAGCTAGTGGATGACTCCCTACCTCATGAGAGCAAGAAATGTGCTAGATATAATGATGTTGAGGATTATGTACAATACATAGTGTACTGTACTGTCAGTTCTTTATCCTAATTTATATACTCTATATATTTTTTCAGAACCTGTAAAGATGTCAGAGGACCGTCCAGTAAAAAGAATCCCCAGTATTTTTGACTCTGAGGATGACAGCGATGATGATCCACCAGTTTCCATACTGCCTAGTGCCAATAGTGATCCAACAGTTTCCATACTGCCTAGTGCCAATAGTGAACCAACAGTTTCCATACTGCCTAGTGCCAGTAATGAACCAACAGTATCCATACTGCCTAGTGCCAGTAATGAACCAACAGTTTTCATACTGCCTAGTGCCAGTGACTCTTCAGATTCTGAAGATAGTGGGGCGGAGTCGTTGGTTCCAGCGTTGCCAGTTGCAGCATGGACGGGTCAGCAGCTGCACAGGTCAACAGCCAGTCCTCCCAAAGAAGGTCCTGCATTTTATGAAGTTAGTGATGATTCTGAGGAGGAAGTTGATACAAAAACTGTGAGTTTTATTACTAGAAAAATAAAAGAAAGCATTTGTAATGATGAGGATGATGACGATGATAATGATTTAGATATTAGCCATTCTAGTCATGACAGTATAGAAGATAGTGATGGCTATGACGACGATGATGATGATGACAACGATGAGGAGGAAGAGAATGATGAAGATGAGGCGAACAAGAGTGACTCTAGTCTTGACCAAGATGAGGAAGAAAGTGATAGTAAGGATGGGCAAGAATTTGAGAGTTATTCACTATCAGAAAAACCTGCAGGCATTTCTGATATAAACAAAGAAGCCGGCTGCATAGATTTTGGAGATATGTATGTTGCAGACAAAGTTAGAGAGGACAGCAGTGATAATGAACAAGACACCAGTGATAGCAATGACAATGAAGATGGTGACATGGAAGAACATACAGACAGTGAGGCAGAGGAGGAGGAGGAGGAGGAGGAGGCAGAAGAGGAGGCAGCTGAGGCAGAGGTGGAGAAGGAGGCAGAGGTGGAGGAGGCGACAGAGGTGGAGGCGGCAGTGGAAGAGGAGGTGGAGGAGGCAGTGGAGGAGGAGGCAGAGGTGGAGGAGGAGGAGGAGGAGGAGGAGGAAGAGGCAGAGGTGGAGGAAGTGGCAGAAGTGGAGGAGGAGAAGGCGGTGGCAGTAGATACACTTGTGGCAGTAAAAGATCTTGGCGTTGAGACCCAGGAAAGAGAAATGGTAGTAGTTGAAGGCACTGATAAAGTAGACTTAATGAGATGTGATGACTCTGAGTCAAAACAAATTAAAGATGGAGTTAAATTGATTGATAAAATTGACATAGAGCCAATGCAAGGGAAACTTAGAGCAAAATGTATTGATGTTATTGAAAAATCGGAGGCTCCAATGGAAAATGTTGAGAGGAAAATCGGGCCAGATGGAGATGAAAGATCAGTGTTAGTAAAAAACAAGGTTGGAATATATAATGACAGTGAAATTGAAGCTATTGACATGGATATAGATGTAAATAGTAAACTTAAAGATTTACAGGAAAACAATCAAAAAGATGTTGAAGACTTAATTGTCAAGGGTGAAAAAACTGAAAGTATGAAGAAAAAAGAAGTTTTGAGTACCAAAACTCTAGACACTAGGGAAGAGGCAGACTTGAGTACCGAAACTCTAGGCACTAGGGAAGAGGCAGACCCGAGTACTGAAACTCTAGACACCAAGGAAGAGGAATTTGATGTGAGTACTGAAGTTCTAGACACTAGGGACGCGGCAGATATGAATACTGAAACTCTAGACACGAAGGAAGAGGCAGACATGAATACTGAAACGCTAGAGGAAAAGGCAGACTTGAATACCGAAATGCTAGACACTAGGGAAGAGGCAGACATGAATACTGAAACTCTAGACACTAAGGAAGAGGCAGACTTGAGTACTGAAACTCTAGACACTAAGGAAGAGGCAGACTTGAGTACTGAAGCTCTAGACACTAAGGAAGAGGAATTTGATGTGAGTACTGAAGCCCCTGGGACTCAGGAAGAAAGCCTGGAAAGTCCTAAAACCCCTGATAATAAACAAGAGGATGACATGGTCAGTGCTGAATACTTTGTCACTAAGGAAGATGATGACATGGTGAGCACTGAAACTTTTGGTACGGAGAAAGACGACATGGTGTATCCTGAAATCCTTGGTGCTAAGGAAGATGCCGACATGGTGAGTACCGAAACCCTTGGAACTACGGAAGATGACTGCACGGGGATAACTAAAAAACTTGACATTAAGGAAGAAGATGACATTGTGAGTACTGAAACCCTTGGCACTAAAGGAGATGACAACACTGTGAGCACTGGAGTCCTTGGTACTAAAGAAAATGACGACATGGTGAGAACTGGAACCCTTGGAACTACGGAAGATGACTGCACGGGGATAACTAAAAAACTTGACATTAAGGAAGAAGATGACATTGTGAGTACTGAAACCCTTGGAAGTAAGGGAGAGAAGAGTATAACTAAAACCCCTGACACTGTAGACGGGGAAGACCTGGTTAGTACGGAAACTTTTGTTACAAAAGTAGAGAAGGACGAAGTGGACACAAAAACCCTTCACACTAAGATTGAAAAGAACATGGGAGGTACTAAAACCTTTGACACTAAGGAAACAGAGGGCACGGTCAATATTAAAAGTCCTTATACTAACGAAGAGGACATTGTGGGTACTAAAACTATTATCAGCAAGGAAAATGATTGCATGATGAGCAGTCAACAACCCATTGACACTGAGGAAGATGAGGGTATAGTGAGCAGTGAACTCCTTGACACTAAAGAAGATGAGGACATGGTGAGCACTGAACTCCTTGACACTAAAGAAGATGAGGACATAGTGAGCAGTGAACTCCTTGACACTAAAGAAGATGAGGACATGGTGAGCACTAAACCCCTTGACACTAAAGAAGATGAGGACATGGTGAGCACTGAACTCCTTGACACTAAAGAAGATGAGGACATGGTGAGCACTAAACCCCTTGACACTAAAGAAGATGAGGACATGGTGAGCACTGAACTCCTTGACACTAAAGAAGATGAGGACATGGTGAGCACTGAACTCCTTGACACTAAAGAAGATGAGGACATGGTGAGCACTAAACCCCTTGACACTAAAGAAGATGAGGACATGGTGAGCACTGAACTCCTTGACACTAAAGAAGATGAGGACATAGTAAGTGATGAAATTCTCAACACTAAGGAAGACAAGGATATGGTGTGTGGTGAAACCCTTAACACTAAGAAGGATGATGACATAGTGAGTGGTGAACCGCTTAACACCAAGAAGGATGATGACATAGTGAGTGGTGAACCCCTTAACACTAAGGAGGATCATGACATAGTGAGAGGTGAAACCTTTGACACTAAGGAAGATGAGGATGTGGGAAGCATTGAATCTTTTGATACTAAGGATGGTGAGGATGCAGCAAGTACTGAAACTCCTGTGACTAAGAAATATGAGGGTGTGGTGAGTACAGAAACTCCTGTGACTAAGAAATACGAATATGTTGCGAAGACCGAAATCCCCGTAACTAAGAAATGCAAGGATTTGTTGTGTACAGAATCCTCAGCGACTAAGAAATATGAGGGTGTGGTGAAGACAGAAACCTCCACGACTAAGAAATACAAGGATCTGGTGAGTACAGAAACCCCTGCGACTAAGAAATACAAGGGTGTGGTGAGCACTGAAACCCCTACAACTAAGAAATACGAAGCTTTGGTGAAGATGGAAACCCCTGCGACTAAGAAATACAAGGATGTGGTGAGCACTGAAACCCCTGCAACTAAGAAATATGAAGCTTTGGTGAAGACGGAAACCCCTGCGGCTAAGAAATACAAGGATGTGGATAGCACAGAAATGCCTGTGACTAAGAAATTTGAGGGAGTGGTGAAGACAGAAACCTCTGTGGCTAAGAAATACAAGGATGTGGTGAGCACTGAAACCCCTTTGACTAAGAAATACGAGGGTGAGTTGAAGATGGGAACCTCTGCGGCTAAGAAATACAAGGATGTGGTAAGCACTGAAACTCCTGCGAATAAGAAATACGAGGCTGTGGTGAAGATGGAAACCTCTGCGGCTAAGAAATACAAGGATGTGTTGAGTACAGAAATCTCTGTGACTAAGAAATACGAGGCTGTGGTGAAGACGGAAACCCCTGCGGCTAAGAAATACAAGGATGTGGTGAGCACTGAAACCCCTGTGACTAAGAAATACGAGGGTGAGTTGAAGATGGGAACCTCTGCGGCTAAGAAATACAAGGATATGGATAGCACAGAAATGCCTGTGACTAAGAAATATGAGGGTGTGGTGAAGGCAGAAACCTCCACGACTAAGAAATACAAGGATGTGGTGAGTTCAGAAACTCCTGCGGCTAAAAAATACAAGGATGTGGTGAGTACAGAAACCCCTGCGACTAAAAAATACGAGACTGTGGTGAAGACAGAAACCCCTGCGACTAAGAAATGCAAGGATGTGGTGAGTACAGAAATCCCTACAACTAAGAAATGCAAGGATGTGTTGAGTACAGAAACCCCTGCGACTAAGAAATATGAGGGTATGGTGAAGATGGAAACCTCTGCGACTAAGAAATACAAGGATGTGGTGAGTACAGAAACCCCTGCGACTAAGAAATACGAGACTGTGGTGAAGACAGAAACCCCTGCGACTAAGAAATGCAAGGATGTGGTGAGTACAGAAACCCCTGCGACTAAGAAATATGAGGGTATGGTGAAGATGGAAACCTCTGCGACTAAGAAATACAAGGATGTGGATAGCACAGAAATGCCTGTGACTAAGAAATATGAGGGTGTGGTGAAGATGGAAACCTCTGTGGCTAAGAAATATGAGAATGTGGTAAACATAAAAATCCCTGTGACTAAGAAACACAAGGATGTGATAAGCAGAGAAACCCCCACGACTAAGAAATACAAGGATGTGGTGAAGACTGAAACCCCTGTGACTAGGAATTATGAGGATGGGGTGAAGACCAAAACCCCTATGACCAAGAAACACGAGGATGTGAAGACAGAAACTCCTGTGACCAAGAAACACGAAGATGTTGTGAAGACGGAACCCTCTGCGACTAAGAAATACAAGGATATGGATAGCACAGAAATGCCTGTGACTAAGAAATACAAGGATGTGGTGAGCACAGAAATTCCTGCGACAGAGAAATACGAGGATGTGGTGAGCACTAAAACTTTATTGACTAAAAAATCTGAGGATGTGGTGAGCAGTAAAATTCCTACAGCTAAGCCATACGAGGATATGGAAGGTGCAGCAGGTTATAAAGACAGTTCATTGTTTAAGAAATTTGATGGCGGAGCTGATGAAGTTTCAAAGAAAGATGAGCACAAAAAAGCTAGAGAGAAAAGGGATGAACACAAAAGAGCTAGAGAGAGAAGAGATGAACACAAAAGAGCTCGAGAGAAAAAAGATGATCACAAGAAAGCTAGAGAGATAAAAGATAAATACAAGAGAGTTCAAGAGAAAAAAGACGAGCAAAAAAGGGCTAAAGAGAAAAAAGACGAGCAAAAAAGAATTAGAGAGAAAAAAGAAGAAGAAAAAAAGATCAGAGAGAAAAACGATGAACAGAAAAAGGTTAAAGAGAAGAAGATTGAACATGCAAAGATAATAGGAGGAAATGAAGGTAAATACAAGATGACTGAGGAAGAGGTTGATAGAGAATGTAAAATTGGTAAGGATGATACAAGTGTTGAAGCTGAGGAGGAAAAGGAGGGAGTTGTGAAGCCCAAGGAAAGTGAGGAGCATAGCAATGACGGTTCAGCTGATGAAAGTGATTTCGAGACAATGGAATGTGAACCCCAGCGAGTACACACACTGAAGAGGGCGCGAGCATCTTTCTCTACTGACTTGGATACAGAAAACCTCAGGGATTATAAGGTAAGTCAGATGTTTTCTTAAAATATTTAATTTGTTGTATGTTGTACATTATTTATACATTACATTAGTGGTACATTGTACATTATACATTGTACATTAGTGGCGATGGAGCTGGGAAGTTGAGCAAATTATGGGCACTGAACGATGGAGGGTTGGGGGTCAGTCGGCCCCGCTACCCCGTGGGCCGGCAGTTGCTGTGAATATAATGTTTCACAATTATTTTGATGTTTCTGATTTGTTTCTTCTCTGGGTTTTTGCTGTAATATTATTCAAAAGTGTGTAATTTGTGGAATTTATATACAGTAGTTCAAAGTGTGGAACATCGCTATGCCCAAAATTATGGGGCTCATATATGTAACATATACAGTATATTATATTCTACGATCAATCAAACAGTGTTTTTGTTGTCCCGTCTGGTTCCCTCCCAGGTTCGGACCTGGCTGGGTCTTGTGTGAGACTCTCGGACCGCTTCCTTGTCTCTTCCTCTGACGTCTCTCCTTCGGCTGTGGTCTCACCTGTGCTTGTTTCTGGAGGGGCTCCCGGGTCACTCGGTGGTTACTCGAGGGTCTGTGCGGGATCCTGAACTTTGCGATGTTGGTCTACCCGCTGGGTCGGGTTTGGCTTCGTCGGCCGTTCTGGTTCCCTCAGGGATGTCCCTTCCGCCTCTCTTGCGATCGCTGGGTTCAGCCCCCCGGGGGCCTTGTGTCGGCTGCTGCACTGCCGGCATCCTCTTCAGGTTTTTCGGGGTTCTATGCCTTGGCGCTTTCCCGAGTCCTCGCTTGATGTGTTCATGGATGCGTCGTCTCTCGGCTGGGGCTTTGTGACCAGTGCTCACCAGGCCAGCCAGAGGCGGTGGGGTCCGTCCTTCCGTCGGGTCCACAGCTCGGTGCGGGAGTTCTTGGCTGTGTGTTTTATGCTTCAGAAGGTTCGGGTCGCCTGCAGATCAATGATCTGGCTCCATTTGGATTGCTCCCCGGTGGTTTATTGCCTGAACCGAGAGGGGTTCGATGCGGTCCTGTGCTCTTTGGGGTTGGTCGCTTCAGGTGACTCGTCTGCTGAGTTCTCGAGGTTTGACTCTCCTGGCGGGTCATGTCTGGGGGTTGTCCACCGTTTTGGCAGGCTGCCTGTCCCGGTTCGTTCCCCTGTCCACGGAATGGACTGTCGACGCCGACTCATTCAATTGGCTCTGCCAGACGTTCGGACGCCCAGAGGTGGACCTCTTTGCGTCAGCATGGTCGAGGTGACTTCCGGTATATGTGACTCCCTTCCCTGTCTGCGAGAGTGTCGGGATTGACGCCTTTCGGCAGGACTGGTCGAGGTGGGGGGTTCCTGTACCTCTTTTCCCCGGTTCAGCTGTAGCTCCAGGTCCTGGCTCGCTTGGAGACTTACCAGGGGCGAGTAGTCCTCTTGGCCCCATGGTGGCCGGCCCAGCCCTGGTTTAAGGCGCTGCTTGCCCGGTGTCCGAATTCAGAGTTTTTTCTGCAGCTCCGTCTCTTTCAGGAGATCGACCCGGTCCGGTACGAGACTGGTTCGCTCTTTTCCATGAGTCTTCGTGTTTGGTATTTTTGACTCGTGTTTATCGCCATCTCTATGGTGATCAGGTGGCTTTCTTGCTGGTTTCCCACCTGAGGGTTTCCTCTCAGCGGCGGTATGAGGTTTCCTGGCGGTCCATCCGGTTCTTTTTGTCCCTTCGTCATTGCTCTTCGCTTTCGGTTCGGGCGGTGTTTTCCTTTCTCTCTCTTGGTTGTTCTAGGACCGTCATCTTATGCCTAATACTATCGCCTCGTATTGTGCGGCGCTGGCGGAGCCGCTGCAGCTTGCTTTCGGTAACGATGTTACTTCTGTGCCGTTTCGCAAGCTGTCTCATGCGCTGTTTTTCCTCCGGCCTGCTCATGCCCTGCCTGAGCCGTCCTGGTCTTTGGACAAAGTGCTCTCCTATCTTTCTTCTCCTCGGTTTGTTGTGGCCCCTTCGGTTCAGGATTGTTTTGCTAAGGCTCTTTTTCTGTTGGCATTAGCCTCTGGGGGTCAAGTGGTGGAGCGCCATGCTCTTCTCCGGCGCAGATGTCCGTAGGTATGTCCATCTACAGCTTTCTCCCTCTTTTCTGGCGAAGAATGAGACTGCTGCCTTCCGGAGGGATCCTTGGGTTGTTGATGCTTGGTTGGTCAGGCAGGGGGTTCATCATGTGTTGTGTCCGGTTGCGGCCCTCAGCCGTTATCTGCGTGCCACGGCTTCTGTGCCCGCGGATGTGCTATGGGTTGATCCGGTTTCCCTTCTTTCCTGTTCGCGGGCTCGGGTCTCTCAGGTTGTCCGCAGGGTAATTAAATCCACCCAGCCTGCTGTCTATTCCCGTGCCCATGACGTTCGTAAGTTTGCTGCTCTTGCTGCTGTCTTTGGCAATACTGTATGTCATGGGCTGACATTCGGGCACAGGGCTTTTGGCGGTCGAACAGGGTCCTGGCTGCATGCTACTTCATGAACGTTCCTGGGCCCAGTGGGGCCTGTGTTGATCTCACCAGGCCCAGTGGGGCCTGGTGATCATTGATATACGGTACTATATCACGATAATGTGATTTCTCTGTGTACTGTATTGAAAGAAAAGTGTCAGAGGTAGAATTACTGGATGACAGAGCCAGAGTTTTTTTTTTTTTTATTATTATTTTCTACCACAGACGTGGCCACACATTTACAATGCTAACCAGCATATATACATTTTCTTCTGTCCTCCATGGACAGGGTTAGAGATCTGTTAAACATATATTTCAAGGGTTTACTGAACACTCAACCACTGAAGGTGATTTGGTGCTTTTAAAATGCTAAGCTAACCTACATACGTAAATACATAGATACACAGATTTACGTATGCCTTACATAAAGTGTTCGATGTGTCTTTTACATAGTGTCATTAATGTACATTTACAAAGGTGAAATGTAATTCTGATCAGCTTCCATATATACTTTATACCCATACATATACTACACACGCACATATACATACATATATACACACACATGCATTCACATACATTTGTCTCATTTACTCTGACAGGGTGAGATAGCTGATAAAGAAACTAGTGTGCAATTAAGCACTTAATCACTGAAGGTGATTAAGGTGCTTTTACAAGCTCAGGTTATATAGTTACATCATATACATACATTGTATAATTAATCTATTACATGGTCAATCTTGGATACAAGTCCAATATATCATCAAGTGTTCCAGTACTCATATAGTAATTACAGAGTTCAGCATACCTTAGCCCAGGAGGGTGAAAGTCAGTCAGTATGGGACATTCTACAATATAGAGCCAGAGTGCATGGAGGAGGGGGGGGGATTGTGTAAAACCCTGGTTCGGCTTTAGTGGAAGCCTCAGGAATCCTCAAGGGTGCAGTAGTACTCCAGGTTGCAATTCTTTTGACCATGTCATTGCATAGTCATCTAGTGCGTGCATCTGGGAATATCCATCGCACAGGTTCGACTCCTCATCATGGCTCCTGTGGATTTTCTCATTCAAATATAACAATGATGTGATTTTTCTTTGTATAATTATGATGATATAACTTAATAATTCGTTGAAATATCAGATTATAACTCATTACAAACATAATGTTAATTTTTCAGAAGTCAAGAGGACCAGATCCTAATGTATCTGTTTCAGTAAAAAGAAGAGGTGCAGCACCAGTCACAGGACGCATTCCAGTGAAGGTAGAAGATGTCTTCACTGACTCAGAAGAAGAAGAAGAAGAAAAAGAAGAAAAGAAAGAAAGAGAGGAAGAAAAGAAAGAAAAAGAAGAGGAAGAAGTAGCAGTCAGTCAAGGTACGGTAAAGATATTCTCTTGTGTAAGGCAAATTATTAATGATTGTCTAAAAAGAAAAAAACACATTTGTTTAAGGTTCTGATTGTGTTTGAAGGCATGCAGAAAATTTGAGAAAGAGAATTTATAATTTTGTTTTATTTACTTCTGGATATTTTAAGTATGGACACTATTTTACAACTTTAATACATATACAAAATGGTTCATTCCAAACTAGTTATTGCTCCATACCTCCATACCAGAAAAATAATAATAATAACAATAATAATAATAATAATAATAATAATGCAGTCCCCATGGTGTAGTTGGCAAGACACTCACCTGGCGTTTCGTGAGCACTTTGTCCTGGGGTTCGTATCCTGGCCGGGAGAGGATTTACTGGCCATCAATCCTTAACTGTTGCCTCTGTTTACCCAACAGTAAAATGGGTTTCGTAGTTGTTAAACGATTTGGCGGGGTCGTATTCTGGGGAACGTTGGATTAAGGACTTGCCCGAAACGCTATGCGTGCTAGTGACTGTACAAGAATGTAAGAACTATTGTATATACAGTATAAATAAAATAGAAGATAATAATAATTATAAATGTCTAACCTATGCTTGAAACATTCCAGGAATCCCATGTTTGTTATATTGCTTGGTAGTCGTCTGTTCCACAAACTATCAAACCAATTTCCAAATCAATAATTGCCTGGGTATTTTCTGAATTTCAACTTATCTAATTTGTATCTATTGTTTTGTTTTCTAAATTCTATATAATGGTGCCCAAAACATAATTCCTAAATATAAATTGGGCCTAAGAAGGTTAAGATGCAACTGAAGAATAACACTTAGATTTCTTCTTATTAAAACTTCTTAATTGTCTTAATTTACCCGAGAGCCATCATTTCTGGTAGCCTGGATGTGGAGAAGAGGTTGGTGGGTTATCAGTGGTGCCCTTCCCCCCCTTATTCCTCAGATTTTCCTAGTTGAGAACTGGATTACTGTGTGCATATTTTGTTCTCTCTTGGAATGGCAGTAACTTGAAGTGGCAAGTAAACAGTGATCTCACCCTAACTAGTCAGCTGATTGAAGTTCGCCGTTGAGCTGAGCCTGTGACGGTTGGATGGTGTGGAGCTTATCTGCTGAAGTGAATTATATTTTCCCACTGATAAGAATAGGCAGTAATATATTACCACTATCTTTCACAAACAGCTTCTGCTAACTTAAGGTTGTAAATTATTAGCAAGTACCTGTGGGATCCACGCTGCTTTACACAAAGAAACTAAATCTTTTTTTTTTTATAGAAAGAGAGAGAAGCAAGGAGAAGAATGCAAGTGATGTGCCCATCACCAGTGAGACGGACTCTGTGGATGCAGAGGATCAGAAAGACTGTGTGTCTGTGCCTGGTAGTTCACGAAGCAGTAGTGTGGAACCAGGACAGGCTCCTCGAGACTTTGGTATTCAATGTGAGTTCATTAATATTACACTATATGAAATATTAATTTCTGGTTGTACAGTAATATATATATATATATATATATATATATATATATATATATATATATATATATATATATATATATATATATATATATATATATATATATATATATATATATATATATATATATATATATATATACAGTAGAACCTCGAGTGACGATCACCTCAATTGGCGAGCCTTTTGGGTAACGAGTGCCCAGATCGCCGACAATTCATCTCATATGGCGAGCGCTCGTTTGAATAACGCCGACAACACATGGTGGGGTCGCACTGCTTCTCGCACATTCTCGGACGCCTCCGACGATGCAAATAATTTTTTTTTTTAAAGATGCTAATGATGCTGGGATATAATGGGGTGACTGCTGTGATGTTGCAAAGCATCGACTGTTTTGTAGAAAAAAGAATGAAATTTTTTGAAAAACAACGAATGCCAAAAAGGTTCGTTCGGTGTTCGGCAGGTAGGCTGCTCCATGTTTCTTAAATAAAAAAAATAAATAAATAAAAAAAAAACAGTTGAAACAATTTGGAAAACGGACAAATGACATAAGGTTTGTTCAGGGTTTGTCAGGTAGGCTGCTCCATTATTGAGACATAAATATAAAATACAAAACAAATGGAACACATTTGAAACAAACAAAGATTGTCATAATGGAGCAGCCTATCCCACAAACACTGAACGAACCTTTATGGCATTTGTCCGTTTTTCAAATTGTTTCAACTTTTTTATTTTCATTTTTTGATATTTAAGAAACATGGAGCAGCCTACCTGCCAAACACCGACTAAACCTTTTGCTATAAAACAAATGAAAAAATATTGAATAAATTTGAAGAAAGAAAAAGTCATTAAGGTTTGTTCAGTGTATGTAAGGTAGGCTGCTCCATTATTTAAAACATCCAATATCATATTGTTGTTTTTTGGTGGTAGAACGGATTAATTTAATTTTCATTATTGTCAATGAGGAAATTTGTTTTGTATGACGTCCATTTCACATGACGATCACGGCGCCGGAACGGATTAAATTCGTTATTCGAGGTGCCACTATATATACACACATACTGTACATACATACACACACATGTATATAAGTATACAGAGGATCACTTGCTTTGCGAACCCCTTGGGGATGAGACCCGTCGGTTACCATGTAGGTCTGTAAACGAGAAATGTAGGAAAAAATGTAGGAAGGCTGTAGAGAGACAGAGACAGCCAACATGCTTTACGAACTTAAGCTATCCAAAAGTTCCAGTTTTACGATCGGGGTTGGAGTTTCTAAGTTTGGGAAGCGAGGAAACGGTTCACCAGACCTTAGGGTGATGGGTGGGAGAGAGCCTAGTTTGCCCACTGACCGTGTCAGGTGCCACTCTAATGCCTTCTACCCTGTGACGACACAGATTTACGGCCTATTATTCCCATTGTTTTGATTTGTCACGAGGCTGGAGTGTTCATTCCGTGACTTTTGTTGGATATATCTGCACAATCTAGGAACATCAGTGCACCATGTCGGCTCCAAATGCACGCATTGTGTCAGTGAAAGCTTCAACAAGCAGAATACATTTGAGAAGAAAGTTGAAATAATTAAGAATGTTGAGAACGGAGTCCCGAGAAGTGTTGTGTGCGCTGAATATGGCATTGTCAAAAGTACTGTTTTTTTTATCTTAAGGCAAAACCTGTAATTTTTTTACTATTTCTTTTGAAGGGAAAGTGATAAGGCAATACAAAATAGAAAGGTAAGTAAAGCAAAAGTGGAGAGTGTTGATAATGCAGTGTGGGAGTGGTACAAACAGGGGTGTGAGGTAACGAAGAAGCCAGTGGCAGACTGGCTGCTCATGGAAAAGGCATGTGAATTTCACCAAGCAGTGAAAAATCCTGAGGCTATCTCTTGTTAAACCCTCCAGGCTATCTCTGGCTGGCAACCTAATGAGCTAGCCACCTACCAGCAGGTTCTCTTGGGGAAGGAAAGCAGCAGTGAGGATGTGGGAGAGAGCAGCAGTGAGGCTGTGGGAGAGAGCAGCAGTGAGGGTGTGGGAGAGAGCAGCAGTGAGGGTGGGGAGGAGAGCAGCAGTGAGGGTGGGGAGGAGAGCAGCAGTGAGGGGTGGGAGGGAGAGCAGCAGTGAGGGGTGGGAGGGAGAGCAACAGTGAGGGCGAGTGGGAAGCTTCCAAGAAAGCTGCCATTGCCTCACCTGCCCCTGACTCATCACATGTTGACCCAAATGTGTCAACATCTGATGTCACCTTATTAATCTCCACCTCAGTCAACCCAACACCATCAACATCCACCACCACCTCTTCCACATAAATAACTATGCTCCATCAACAATGATCATCAACATAACAAGTGGATCATGACCTCTCTTATTGGCAAATACAACTTTTACTGCTGAAAAACAAATTTGGCAGACGAGAACTGTATTTGAGAAATTTACATTTTAATGTGATTTTGTTTCAAGCATAGAATATGTAAATAAAACCACAGTTAAATTTATAATAACCAGAAAACAGTGTTGCTGAATGATTGAAGATAAACTGCATTGCAAATATGACATGTATCTTACTTTAATATATGATGTCATTTTACAGTGTTGCTTTTGAAAGATGTAAATTTGCATATTAACACTAGTTCATTACCAGATTCACAGGGAAGGTATTCCCCATCAACACCTGATCAAAGGGTACTTTCCAGTCTACCACCTGGAACTTCAATACTGCGCATCCCTCGACCAAAGAAAACCAGTAGAATACCATTTAGTCTGGATGAGTGTATGAAGGCATTTTTAAAAGGTAATTTCTTTTTTACTACGGCTAATTATATTTTATATGCATGATATCATCATTTCTGTTGGGAGAGTTTTCAGCTATAGCAACAATAAGTTTATTCGCACATAATATAACTTCCAGTCACATACTTCTGTTGCATAAATAACTTTAGGCACAAATAGCAAATTGTAGCCGAGATGTAACACTTAAATTTGGTAAACTATTATTAGATTTTTCAAATTTGAAACACAGATGGATATATCTGAAATATTGTTAGCTAATACAGTAGTGGTATTTTACTTCATTTTATCTTTTTTATTTGTAAATCAGCTCATTTATGGTGTTCTCTTATTGTACAATATTGCATTCAAATTTTTGCCTTGTATGTTAACACTGCATTCCAGGGCTAATGCTAGTTTTTTTCCATAGTGACCCAGGGCCTTTGGTCATTCATTCATTTACAGGTGAATCTTGCTTACCAAAGGAGATGAGATTTTCTATGCATACAGTCAGTCTATTAGGCTAGATGAACCTACTGCCGTGCTGGATACACAGGCTAGACAGACATGTCAACATTCTGTTTGATTATACTGTCCCCCCCCCCCCCATTAAACCTGTACAAGTGCATATTCCCTACCATTGATTGTGAGGTAGCATTATAATACTATCATGACTGTTAATACCACTGCAATTTCTTGTAAATATTTAAACGATTGCATATACAGTACAAATAAAAATATTAGCTACAGTCTTTGCAGTTCATCGTACAGGTATGCACCTACCACCCTTCTTCCATCACCAAGCACTCTGACCCCTTCCAACCTAAGGTGAACACGATCTTGTTCCAATCATATGTAACTGTTGGGTTACTGAGGACATATAAAGAGTCGCCACCCTCAGTAACATTTTCATTATCTCACCAACACCACTCCTAGCAAGTCTCCCCACACCCACATGCCAATACTAGCTTTCCAGCAGCTACACGCCTACTCTCACAATCTGACACAGACACACACACACAATCTTTATCTTTCTCATAAAGAAAGAGATCTAGGGGTGGTTCTAGATAGAAAACTGTCACTTGAGGACCACATAAAGAACGTTGTGCGAGGAGCTTATGCTATGTTTTCTAACTTCAGAATTGCTTTTAGATACATGGATGATGAAATACTAAAGAAATTGTTCACAACTTTTGTTAGGCCAAAGCTAGAATATGCAGTGGTTGTGTGGTGCCCATATCTTAACCCCTTAACTGCGTTGCCTCCAAATATGACACCCCCGCAGTGCGCAGGAAATAAATTCTCTGGAAAAAATTCTTTTTTCTTTTTAAAGTGTCAGAAACCCTTTCCTCAGTATGGGTATGTAGAAAAAAAATCGAAATTGTACTTACTTTGGCTGCTATGGGGTCCGTAAGTTGGGGCGTGACGTCATCATTCCCTGTTCGCCCGTGACGTACGCTCCCGGGGCCAGTAGGGCGCTCGAGGCGGGGCGTGCGAGTTGCCGCGAATATATTTTCGTTCATTTTTTGCGCACAGTTCCAAATACATTTTTTTTTGTTTTTACGTGCTAATCCTATGGATAGTGAAAACGTACACTATATTATGGCAGTAAAACATCCGTACTGTCCGAAGACACTGTGTTACGTGCATGACACTTGTGTACACATATGCAGCACATATTTACTATGTATCATGCTAATTTATGTATATATACAATCTATTTACACACTATACACTGTCACACACTATATACATTCACCATCAACACATTCAGAACACCGCGAGTGAGAGCAGCCACACCCAGCCAGCCCTCCCTCACTTCTCCAGCATTGTATTCGCCAACTTTGCCCCTCCCATCATACAGTTATTCACACCAATGTTTCATGTTCATTTATGTATATTTACAACATATGTACACACTATACACTGTCACACACAATATACATTTACCATCAACACATTTAGAACATCGCGTAGCAGCTGCTTCGTATGGGCCAATAGGAGCTGCTTCGTATGGGCCAATAGGAGCTGCCTCGTATGGGCCAATAGCAGATGCCTCGTATGGGCCAATAGCAGATGCCTCATATGGACCAATAGCAGATGCCTCGTATGGGCCAATAGCAGATGCCTCGTATGGGCCAGTAGCAGCTGCCTCGTATGGGCCAATAGCAGCTGCCTCGTATGGGCCAATAGCAGCTGCCTCGTATGGGCCAATAGCAGCTGCCTCGTATGGGCCAATATCAGCTGCCTCGTATGGGCCAATATCAGCTGCCTCGTATGGGTCAATATCAGCTGCCTCGTATGGGCCAATATCAGCTGCCTCGTATGGGCCAATATCAGCTGCCTCGTATGGGCCAATATCAGCTGCCTCGTATGGGCCAATATCAGCTGCCTCGTATGGTCCAATATCAGCTGCCTCGTATGGGCCAATATCAGCTGTCTCGTATGGGCCAATAGGAACTGCCTCGTATGGGCCAATAGCAGCTGTCTCGTATGGGCCAATGGGAGCTGCCTCGTATGGGCCAATAGGAGCTGCCTCGTATGGACCAATAGGAGCTGCCTCGTATGGGCCAATAGCAGCTGCCTCGTATGGGCCAATAGCAGCTGCCTCGTATGGGCCAATAGCAGCTGCCTTGTATATGCCAATAGGAGCATTTGGCCATGAACACATTCAGAACACCTCGAGTGAGAGCAGCCACACCCAGCCAGCCTCCCTTACTCCAACATCTTACTCGCCAATATTGCTCCTCCCACCATACTGTTATAGTTCTTATTACACATGTTCTATATACCTATCTACATGTTTTATTTACCAGAACTATGCAAGTAAGCCGGTATTGTGTCCAAACAGTACAGTGGCCACCATACACTGCATGAAAAATCACACAGCAGACGACGCTACGATTACGTCACCTCCCTCACCAAAATAGCTCCTCTCAACATTCTCCTGTTGCTGTTCTTACACTATAACAATATGCCTTCAGCTGAATTAACAATATGCCTTCAGCTGAATTAACAATATGCCTTCAGTTGTTAACAATATGCCTTCAGCTGAACAAGTCTATGTGGGTGGGGACGAGGACAGGTTGACGAGTTTAGCAGTTACCAGGGAGGATGTTCTTAAACAAATAGTAAAACTCAAACCAAACAAATCCCCAGGGCCGGATGAAGTGTTTGCCAGGGTGCTTAAAGAATGCAAAGAGGAGCTTTGTGACCCACTGTCAACCATATTTAATAAATCAATAGAGTCAGGCAGAGTGCCAGAGTTTTGGAAAGTTGCTAATGTGATACCAGTTTTTAAGAAAGGAGATAGATCACTTGCGTCTAACTATCGACCAATTAGCCTAACGTCTATTGTGGGAAAGTTACTCGAATCTATAATAGCAAATAAAATTCGTCTTCATCTTGAAAAACATAAATTAATAATTGAGTCTCAACATGGTTTTATAAATGGCCGTTCATGTTTAACAAATTTGTTATCTTTTTATTCTAGCATTGTTGAGGCAGTTGATAGTGGTAAGGATTGCGATGTTGTATACCTTGACTTTAGCAAAGCTTTTGATACAGTGCCACATGAAAGACTGATTAAAAAGATAGAGTCTCATGGTATTGGGGGTGCTATATTAAGCTGGATTAGGGCATGGCTATACCAAAGGAAACAGAGAGTTAGTATAAATGGAATCAAGTCAGAGTGGGAAAATGTTGTCAGTGGAGTGCCTCAAGGCTCTGTCCTGGGACCTCTGTTGTTTATAATATATATAAATGATTTAGATTCAGGTTTGAGTAGCAACATTTGCAAATTTGCCGATGATACGAAAATCGGTAGGGAAATTAATTCGGAGGAGGACTCACTATCACTTCAAGTTGATCTAGATAGGGTTTTGAAATTGTCAAAGGATTGGCAGATGCAGTTTAATGCTGATAAATGTAAAGTTCTGAGGTTAGGTAATGATGATAGAGTTACAAGATACGAGCTAGATGGTGTTGTGATTGCGAAGTCGGATTGCGAAAGGGATCTGGGAGTTATGATTAGTAAGAATTTAAAACAAAAGGATCAATGCATAAATGTTCGTAATAAGGCAAATCGGACACTTGGATTTATTAATCGCAGCGTTAGTAACAAGACACCTGGTGTGGTTCTCAAGCTATATCTTGCTCTAGTTAGGCCCCATTTAGATTATGCAGTTCAGTTTTGGTCGCCATATTATAGAATGGATATAAATTCACTTGAACGTGTCCAGCGTAGGATGACTAAGTTAATTCCCCAAATTAGAAATCTTTCATATGAAGAAAGATTAACAAAGCTTAAGTTGCATTCACTGGAAAGGCGAAGAGTTAGGGGCGACATGATAGAGGTTTACAAGTGGGTGAATGGACATAACAAGGGGGATATTAATAGGGTATTAAAAGTATCAACACAGGACAGAACACGTAACAATGGGTATAAATTGGATAAGTTTAGATTTAGGAAAGACTTGGGTAAATACTGGTTCAGTAACAGGGTTGTTGATTTGTGGAACCAATTGCCGCGTAACGTGGTGGAGGTGGGGTCCCTCGATTGTTTCAAGCGCGGATTGGACAAGTATATGAGTGGGATTGGGTGGTTATAGAATAGGAGCTGCCTCGAATGGGCTAATAGGCCTTCTGCAGTTACCTTTGTTCTTATGTTCTTATGTTCTTATATACACACACTATATATACCCGTGTACATATGTTTTGCCCATAGCGAACCACTAAGCTAGTATGGTGAGCAAAACAAGAGTGGCAGCCACACACACACAATGAGGCTACCTCAATTCTCGCCCTCCCTCCCTCACCAAAATTCCTCCTTCCACAATACTATGCACAATGCTAATTATAACCACAATCCTGCTATTATCACAATCCTGCTCACTAATTCCTGTAAATGAATAATTGACCACACGTTTATTTTGAAAAGGAACCTAAGAAATCATTTGAAGATTCCTAGATGGACGAAATAATGCTGTGGTGCTGTGGCTAGCGCTGTGAACATCGTGAACAGCA